CAGGGAGGGTGTGCAAGAAAGAGCTTCCCTTTGATTTTCTTCATAGTACCTAACACATCACTAGAGAGCCAGTAAATATTTGTTAGGCAATGTGATGGAAAACCAGCTCCATCCTCTCCTTTGGAGGGTGCTGGGCGGCTGTTAGGAGAGGGCTATACCCACAACAATGCCCCAGAACGAACGCGCTGCTGCCCAGGAAGCAGTGCTCGGGGCCACAGTCACAATGGCATACGCACCCCAAACTCAGGCCCTGCGATGTCTCAGAATGTCATCACTTTAAATATCCGGTCCCACTGTCTGCACTGGTACTTTCGAAAAGGACTGACCTGGATTCTGACCTTTGGTTTCAACAACATGCCCACCAGGAACACATAACGTTCGGAACACTCGGGCCTAGAATAGTGAGGCTACCAGGCGAGGACTCGGGCCCTTGAGAGTGAGTGGCAAGTGCCTCTCCATGACATGACCTCGCTGTCATTCCAGGGTCTGCATAGTAAGTTAGAAGTTAGAAGGAAGGGCTTTCAAAGGACTTTCCTTGAGAAAGGGTGATTTCTCTGGTTTTCGTAGGCATGAAAACGGTGCTTTTACTGTCTGGTTCTTAGGCATCGCTATTTAGACTTGACTCACGAAATGATTCCTAACAGTGGTGCTGGAGAAGTAAACATTCGTCCCCACAGTGCAAGATAAGCTGACAAGGCCCCTGCCTTCCAGGAGCTTACAGAGTCCTGGTGGAAACCTCACCTCAACACACATAAACGATGGCAAACTCGCCAAGCCTCCTGAGGGGCACTGGAGCACCAGGCAGTATACGGGCAGAGCCCGTTAGGTAGCCTCACGGCGGGGACAGGACCAGCAAGGATGCAAGGGCCTGGCCCGAATGACTGCGCACCATGAACAAACACTTATGCCTGACATAACATACACAACAAAATGTACTATTCCTGCTTGCACAAGACCTAAATACCCCTTTTCATAAAAAGAGACCAGGGATTTCATGCCTTTTTGCTTATATCCTCTCTGTTTTGAATTTAGATAAGAAAAAACTTAAAAGGGGCCAAAAAGTTTTTGAATTAAGTAATTTGTAATTCTCTTTGTATCAAAAATAAAAATAACTAAAGAAAAAAAATCCATTCTTCAATATGTAATTTGTTTCAGAACCAACTCCACATTTAAGTCCAATGAATCAAAAACGACTAGGTTTATGAGGAAACTAAATTAAATATAGAGAAGATCCCCCTCTGCAGCTTCAAAGTTACTGAAATTTAACAAAGATATTTGAGATTAGGCCTAATTCTTAAATCCTGCCAGTTTTAATATTAGAATCACCTTTGGGTGTATGGCGGGGGCGGGGGGGGGGTAGGGGGATGGTAAGAAAAGCAAAGGCCCAACTCCTAAGATTCTAACTTGGTCAGTCTCGGCGCGCAGCTTTGCCTATCTCACACACAAACACACACCCCTCGTCCAGGAGGTGTTAGTAATGAACCCACTGCAGGGATATAGCCTTGGCCATATCCCAGAAAGAAAAGACAAACAATCCCTGATCATCAATGCTGAATTTCCCTTTTAGGGGAAAACTTCTGCCTTAATAACAATCATTTGTGTTGACATCATCATCTCATTCAAAAACAGAAGATCTCAGCAAGATGAAAAAAAAAAAGTTCGCAATCGCCAAACATCCTATCCAAAGCAGCAAAAGGAGCCAAAAGCAAAGGACCTTTTTATTCCCCTTTTGTTCTCCGCAATGGTGCCCTTTCGGTATATTAGCTAGTGGTTATCTACCGTTGTGATGTTGGACTATCTTGGGAAAAATTTTATTTCCGCTCATTTTCATTTCTGTCAGACTTTCCATTATAAATTTTATTTTCTCTGCCAGTAAAAGTAGTATGAGGTTGCAATTTGGCAAGAAAATTTTAAGCCTGGGTGTGATTTCCGTACCCCAATTTGATTTAAATTAGTTTTGCCATATTTAGCAAGAACTAAAAAAAGTACTTTTAGCCGCTTTGGGTTGTCTATCGGGTCATTTTCTATACAATTTCAAAAGTCTGAAAAGTAACTGTGTTTATTTCTGGTAATTTTATGTACAAATGCATTAATAAATTCAAATTCATATTATCCCATTGCTATTTTTAATGAAAATAACTTAATTGATAATAAAGGACTTGACGGCTTTTGATTTTTGGCTACAATATCCACTTTTCTGAAAGCCATATATCTACCCTTATTAGTGTTAAATCCTCAAGAGAAACATAATGGATGGATGGACACACACACACACACACACAATGTTTAATCTGAAGCATTTCCAAAACAATATACATTTCTCCAGGGCAGCATTTTGCTACCTGTTGCTTACCACCAGCACTTCCCTACACCAAACAAAAGGCTATTGGGACTGGAATAAGCGAGTTTACATGTAACAGTGCTCATCCTATAAGTCCACAGGATATTGTTATAACAAAATAAAGCAGCTTCTGGAGCTTCTTAGGGCTTATCATCTAAAGGTTTTCCACCCAGCGGCTCTATAACAGAGAGGAGAAAACAAAAGCTTCCTCTCCATGCGAGGCACTCACCTGGCCACACAGCGGGGAGTCACTTCAGCTGTGATCTGCTATTTAGACCTGAAGCCCAAGACACCGAGAAGCTGCCTTTCTTTTTTGGTTTGCATACTGGTGTTAGAGACAGGGATTCAAAAAATAATTCTGCACCAGAGAAACTCATTCACTGGAAGACACGCTATGGTCTGCTCTATTCTCAAATTTCACAGCAAGTAGAAATTCGTAATATGTACACTTTCCATCTCGAGCCCCTCTTTCCCCAGTCAGGGAATTTCCAAAATTCCACTTTATTTATCCAGAAGTGATCACACTGTTTGTGAATACTGCTGAGAGCAGGCTAAACACAGAGACAGTCAGTACTTGTAAGACTCACAACCATGAAGCAGAAATAAGAATGAAAGTATCTCCGCTCCACATTTCTATCAGGGAGACTTTAAGAAAAGCATAGGCAATCATACTTCTACCTACAACAGAAATTTCCTGGACGTGCATGTCTCAGCATGAAACTCCCAAGGCCCAGATATGCAGCCATCACACGCCGGTCCATCCACCTCTATGCTCCCCCTGCCCCTTCCCACTCCTCACCTTGTATTTGCCAAAAAAATTAACTTCAGTGTCACCCGCGGGAAGTATTTCCCACAGACCGAGGGCGGGTCCGTGCCCCTGCACACTCACAGACAGACTCACGCAGTCTGGAGGATGCTTTCACAAGTTAAGGGGCCTCACGCTTACTCAGCAGAGGAAATCTTTGTGTCTGTGAGGAATCACGCCAATTCCTATTAGTAAGAAAGGATACAGGGGCGAGGAAGCCTATTCTCTCATTGACCAGAAAAAGAGGCCCAGCACAAACAGAGACCTCTGCCATGACCATCTGCAAAAAGGAAGGATGTTGTCAACTTTCTTCTCCCCAAAACTCTGACGACCTCTGCCTTGACCCTCAGAAACCAGATCCACAGGAACAGGCTCTTCTGCAGGAATTGAGAGCTTTACACCAGAGACTCGGCACTGAGAGGCTTGTCGCCCAAGCTATCTACCCCGAACATTTGCACTCACATTCCAAAGATGTTTCCGTTGTGCTGGAATGGCTGTAAATTTCTTTCCTGCACAATTCTTTCCAAACAAACTGCCATGAACTGTACTCTGCAGCAGGAGCGCTTAACCAAGCGCCGCTCAGCTCATCACAACACATCTTTCAGATGCTGACTATGGCTGCATTGGTGGCTGGGCCAAGGGAGTAAACTTTAAAAATGCAAATACATCCAGGAAAAAAAAAACAACACTCCACCAGAATTCTACCTTTAGTGATATATAACTGACACGAAAAGAAAACCTCCTTCGTGGGCTCTGTTTAATTACTAAGCCTGCTTGCTTACATTTTTCAGGATACAGTAAAGAGTTGTTTTAAAATTTTTAAATGCCCCCCCATATCATTAAAGGAAATGGAGGGGGGTATTCAAGAGAACCAGCACTCCCTTTCCAACACAAAAAAACATACGTGCTGTTTGGGTGAATAATAAAACAGTAGAAAGCTTTGAATATTAAAGAGCATTGTGAAATTCTATCAAGAGTTTTCCAAAGTAAGAAACCAAAGTACTTTATAAAAAGAAAGCCTAAATCTTAAAAAAGGAAAGGTTTTAAACATATGATTAATACTGATACTGAAATGAAAAAGAAAGCATTTATAAAATCTCAATTATCTTGGAGCAAAGCTTACACTTCTCTGGTCATCGATAGTATTTTTAGACGTGGGCTTTCTCTAGAGAGTTAAAAGTATGCAAACGCAGAGTGCACAGAGACACGAACACACGCGTGCTACACCTTTGTATTACACTGGCATTTTATTATTTAATTAAAGCACTCTTATTTTTCTAGCTCACGCACGCTTCCCTTGAGACGGCTTTGCTGTTAGCCTGCTGGCCTTGACTTTCAGCCAAAAACAATTCAGAAACAAAAAGGGACAACAAATCATATTTTCACAGACATTTTTATCCCTCAATACAACCCTGTTTTCACACAACATCATAGAGCCCCTATGAAAACTATAATTTAGGCCAATAGCCACCGAGCCCAGGGTTTGACGCGTGGCTGCATGAAGTACTCCCAGTGTAAGAAACGCTCAAGTTCTTAATTGCAAATAAACTCTTTTGATAGAACCACTTTAACCGACATCGCTGGTTTGCAAACAGTGCCATTGGTATCGGCTGATGGATTAAAAAATAAAAACAAGCCAGTGAATGCAGTTCTGATATGCCAGCAATCTAAACATGAGGTGTCTATTACTTCCAAGCTCTGCATTATTTCATTACTTTTGAAAAAGAAAGAGGCATCGGCAGACCTGCAGTGCATCTTAGTGTCACAGTCTAAAAGGCATAATCTAATTTAGAAAATAAACTGATGTACCAGGTTAATTCTCTCAACCCTTCCCCACGCGAGGTTCTCACTTACCTGGTGGCAACCCTGTAAGTTTGATTCTCTCCCATAAGATGAATATGAGCCCCTTTCTGTTTTACCTGCCAAGAGAAACAATTTAAAAAAAAAAGGTGTAAATTGTGTTTTTCCTTTAAAAAAAAAAAAAACCCTGCAGGTAACAGATATCTACTTCTCTTTCCCGATGTTTACATACGTAAAGTAGGCACTACTGGCAATGTATGCAAGCAAGAGAGAGAATAACACTTCCTCACTCTGGCTATGATAAACTGGAAAAAAATATCCTTCATTCCTATTCTTAGCCAAACTGCTCCACACTTCCAAAAACTGTCATTCCAATGGCCTCCACTTTCTCTAACAAACAAATTGTCATTCCTTATTTTCACTTTCTTCCTCTCTCACAAAATTTAAACAATTTCATTTTTATTTACACAGCAGGCAAATTATCTACGTAATGACCCTAGTCTAGTAATTCCCATTGATTATATTGACACTTAATGGTGAGGCCAAAGCTAATCAATCAAGGCTTTCCAGATGGTGAATACAGCAAAGGAACTATTCAAAATTCTGAGACTCTCTTTCTTTTTTTAACTCCCTTTCCCAGGAGTAAATTTCCTCATGATCAAGATGATGATGGGATTTACATTTGGAAAAGAGGGTATCTGAAAAATTGCCCAGCCTGAACCCAAGTTCAGATTCCACCAGTAGACTCAGCAGGACATGGGATAACGGAATGCGAGTATCTTTCTCCAATTCTAACAACCCAATTTTTATCTATAGACAGTATTACAGAGATGTATACAGCCTCAGTTGCTATCTGGCCCCATCTAAGGATGAAGCCAAGGCTGCTCATTTGTTTCTTTTCAAAGTATGGTTAGCCCTATCCATCAGCAAGGAAGACAACAAAACCACATTACAAAAGATCTAAGCAGTAGAGTTTAGTTTGTGACACATGAAGAGTTATCATAGAAAAATCGATCCACACCAGGACAATGAAAAAGGTCTAGTGACAAGGCCAGGTACTCAGAACACAAAGCCCACACCATCTGAGAGCAAAGGATATTTCTTTCTCGCAGACTAGTTTTAAGGAACACTACATTTTACACCTGGGACTATTCTTCTCTTTTCCAATGGGAAAATTCAAAACTAGTATTTTGAGGAAAAAAATGGTATCCATCTAAAATTAACAACCCTCCAAATCCCCCCCCCCAACCCAAGTTAATGCAAATGCTAAAAGTAACAGCAGTCATGTTTTATGGCTTAGTTCAACAGCAATGCCATTAGCGCATGCCTTAGTGACACCGCACGAATGATGTACCTTTAATAAACCTTATATCTGATCAAAAAAGTGCATCCTGTATCTGTCACCATATACATAAAATAAAAGAGGATTTTTTCAAAGAAAGCGAAACCTGAGTCCAAAAATTAACCCTCTCTCCCTCTGTATTAACTTTTCTACTGATTTCAAGAAATCCCAAACTTGGAAAAACATGCCCCCGACCCCATTGTGGTATATTGCCAAGGAGAAAATCAATGTCCACATCAGTTTCAATTACAACGGAACACGCTATCATCTCACAGGCTGTCAGTCCTGGGACATCTAAGAGAACAGCTTCAACTGTATGAGGATTTTACATTGAAGAAAAGACTCATTTACCTGTTCAGCAGTGCAAATGGTCATACAGACATATTTCTTCTTCTGTGTAAGTCAGATATAACCTATGGATGTCCTTTAACTTCTCTTTACAAATATGACTAACAGAAAAGACTTGACCTTTATGAGCTATCAAATGACGTGTGTCCTTCCTTAAGCTCTTGCATCTAAAAAGCTTCAGTACAACCACACGGTAATTCACTTTGACATAATATTCGCTTGTTTAACAACCAGAAAGGCAGGTAGAGAGGTATGTTAAGTGTAGGCAAGCAGGCAGGCTGACAGAAAGGTAGATGATAGATAAATAGATAAGGTAAAATTTGCTTTGACTTCCAGGGAAATTGAACATCTAGTGTCTTGTTTTGGTAATTTCTAAAAACTGGATTGTAAAATACAATTTTAAGGAAGAAAGGCTATCTATTTTTCTCTCTAGAAGGAATTACTAAATCCATCCCCTATATAATTTCACCACCTGGCATTATTTCCCAACTTGAGTCCAGCACACAAACCTCAGAAAGATGAATTTTCCTACCAGGACTTGTCTCAATTCGTGTGTGTGTGTGTATGTGTGTGTGTGTGTGTGAGTGAGTTAGAGCTATCCCTTCCATTATTTTGAAACCAGAAAGTCAGTGCAAATAGTAAGGAAGAAAGACGGAGGGAGAGAGAGAGGGAGAGAGGAAGACAGGGAATGAGGGAGGAAGGGAGGAAGAGAAAGAATGTAAGACTAAGAGGGAGAGAGGAGAGAGGAAAGGAGAGAAACAGAGAGAGGGAGAGTGGACTGGAAAAGCAAGAGGGGAGGATGGGAGAGAAGGAGGAGGGAGAGATGAGAAGAACATGAATTCACGCTGCAGAGTCCCCGAAGGACTCCTGGCTACATAGGCCCAGCATTCTTTACTATCATATCAGATACAGACTGCTTAATCTTAATTTTGCTTGTTAAAAAATATTTATCCAGATACAAAAATAAACCCACTGCAAATTACAAGTTGTCAGGGTTAAAAATCTACTCCTGTTTGTGTGGGGGAGGATAAGGGACCAGCATAGACATGAATCATTCTCAGTAATTTGAGTGTTTCCATGACATCAATGGGCACGGGTCCAGGACTCTGTCGAAGTCTGCGAGGTACCAAGGAGGCAGTGCAGCCAGCAGGAGGCTGGGAGGTGCACTTTTTTTTTCTTTAGGATTATGCTCCTTGTAAAGATTTCATCTGTAGCATCCACTTTTACCATCAAATAGATCGCTCCAGAGATCACGAGCGAACACATTTCACTCTGATAGCGTAAGCCTTTAACTTTATTACATCTTTTTGTTCCCAAATTCAACTGTAAATCTGCCCTCAGAGTCCAAACCTCTGTTTGGGAGCAAAATAATCAGACAGAGACTGTGGATAAACTCAAACACTTTCTCAAATGTATTCTATCTATTCTTATCATTTCCTAATGACAGAAAGCAGCCATTTTACAATGACACCTCAGTCTCTAGGAAAAGACAACTATCTTTTGTATAAATTGTCCAGTAAAAATTAGCTATGGTCTTGATGTTGATTTTCTGCTTAAAATTCACTGAAACATTTGTTTCAGATAATAAAATTTTCAAGAGCGCTGATAACATGTTTGAGTAGGATTCCTAAGTAACTCTCTGTGCTCACGAACACAAAAGCTCCTAAATATCTGCGTTTACTGTATGTCAGGCACGGATTTTTGTCACTTGTACCAACAGGCTGGCGCAGACAGCTTCTTTCCTCCTTTCTCCATTCTTCGCCACCCACCTCCCCCCCATCCCCACAACCACAGCGGAGCTTTGAATGAGCTAAAGATTCTATTTTTCCAATATTTAAAAGAGATAGCAGTGATGAACAATCCCGGCGTGTTCACTGCGGAATTTTCGAGACGTCCCTCCAGTACTAGAATGCGACAGCCGCTGCGGATATTTTTTGGCACAAAGACAATGGTGGCAGTGCCAAGCCCCCATGGCTAAAACTACTCAAAAGAGGCATAAGGGTAGCATTAATCGCTCAAGTCTTTTACTGCATGGAGTACTGTTGTCCATATTTTAAAAACTAAAAGTACCCGTTAGTAACATTTGTCGTATGCCCAGAAAGGGTGTGTGTTTGGGCGGGGGGGAAAGGGGGTATCCTGAAATATACACCAAAAACAAATCTTGTCAGGAGTTTGATTCATTTTTATACCTAAAAGGACCAACTGTTAAATTTTGCTGCTGGTGACAATTTGCTGTGCATGAAACGAATGATCTGACCTAATGGAGTATACTAAAGGCTGAATGAAAGCTACAGAGAGGATTTTATAAACTGAGCTGAGATACTGACTAAATAACTTTCTTCTACAGAAATGATGTATACAAGGAACATGTAATACCATGTCACAATTTTTTAAATTAAACAAGAAAAACGCTGTAAACGAGCAGACACAACATCCGTCAATCAACCCTTCTGGAGACAAAGGAGATCCACACGCAGCCCCTTCTCCAGACAAGTCGGCATCTACAGTGAGCGAGCAACACACAAAGTCAACGCATGTTTTGTCCAAACTGAACCCATCAACGGCTGAAACCTGTATTTAAATTTTATTATTAAAAATGACACCATTTGGTAATCAATAAAGGATTCACTTGCTTCTTCTGTTGTCCTTGAAAAACTAATCTAAGCAGAAAAATACTGCATAAGCTACTTCCAGTTCTTTTAAAGACCAGTATTTTTGCTGATCTATTCAGTAATGCTTTATCTTGCTGCCCCAAGGAGGAAAAGGAAAAATTATTTTATATAATTTTTCACTTGACTTCCAATCTTTCTTCCAATGTATCCATAGTATCCTGCTGTAAGGGAATGCCATGGGAATTGGATGTGAATGAAAATACTACATAAAGGTAAAAATGGCCTTGTAAGTCCATTCATTCACAGGGATGCATCTAAGAAGTACAGCCTTCGGTAGATTACTACACCTGGACAGTTCTAATCTACAAAGGAAGAGAGACCAAAAGAACACCATACTGATAATATGATTTCTGGAGATAAGCTGTGATATAGGAGACCCCACTGGTGGTTGACCAGTAGGATAATAACAAGGTCATGTTCAGGTTTCTAGCCTTTTATTATTCAAAGGCCACTCTTAACATTATATATAAATGACAGATAATGCTCCTATCACTGAAAAATTGCACCTCTACAGTGAAACATACCCCATGAAAAGCCTTGCTAAAAATTATCTGATGCTGCAGGACAATACCAAATAAGGCTGTTTCACCGTTAATCCTCATTCTGGGAACTGACGAATGAGCCTTTTGTTCCCAGCCATCAGGCTAGGGAACTCACCATACCATGTACGAGTCAAAATAAATTTCTGTACCTTTCCCCTACCCCAATCTATTTCTGGTAATCCTATTAATTTTTTAATATTGAAAAGACTACTTCA